TGTTTAATAGCATGACATTCAATCTCCATGATTTTGAGTGTTTGGGGTTTTTTCCTTTGGGGTTGGTTTCCAGTTTAAGTCCCTTGTGGTCAGAGAGAATTCTTGGTATGATTTTAATTTTCTTGAATTTGTTGAGGCTCGTTTTGTGTCCTATCATGTGGTCTGTCTTTGAAAATGTGTCATGTGCATTTGAAAAGAATGTGTATTTAGCTTCTTTGGGGTGAAGGGCCCTATATATATCAGTTAAGTCTACTTCATCTAGGGCATTGTTCAATGCCACAATATCTTTGTTGATATTTTGTTTGGAAGATCTGTCCATTTTTTATAGTGGGGTGTTAAAATTTCCTACAATAATTGTGTAGTTGTCAATAACTTTCTTGAAATCCTCTAAGATTTTCTTTATATATTTGGGTGCTCCTATGTTGGGTGCATATATATTTACAATGTTAATGTCTTCTTGGTGGACTCTTCCCTTGAGTATTATGAAGTGACATTCTGGGTCTCTCTTTATGCCCCCCTTTTTAAAAATATATTTTTTTATTTTATTGATTATGCCATTACATTTGTTCTATTTCCCCCCTCAGTTCCCCTCCACCCTGCACATCCCCTCACCCACCATTCCCCCCTTTAGTTCATGAACACGTGTCTCAAGTTCTTTACATTCTATATTTCCCCTAGTATTCTTACCCTCCTCTCTATTTTCTATCTACTGTGTACACTACTTATTTTCTGTACCTTCTCCCCCCTTCTCCTCTTTCAACTCCCCTGTTGCTAACCCTCCATGTGATCTTCATTTCTATGGTTCACACCTGATCTAGCTATCCTCTTAATTTGCTTTTGTGTTAGGTGTGGTTGTTGATAACTGTGAGTTTGCTGTCCTTTCACTGTTCATCTTTTTTATCTTCTTTTTTTCAGATAAGTCCCTTTAGCATTTCATATAATAAGGGCTTGGTGATGATGAACTCCTTGAATTTGGTCTTATCTGAGAAGCCCTTTATCTGTCCTTCCATTTTAAATGAAAGCTTTGCTGGATAGAGCAATCTTGGTTGTAGGGCTTTGGGTTTCATGACTTGGAATACCTCTTTCCAGCCCCTTCTTGCCTGTAAGGTCTCTTTTGAGAAATCCGCTGACAGTCTGATGGGAACTCCTTTGTAGGTGACTGTCCCCTTATCTCTTGCTGCTTCTAGGATTCTCTCCTTCATTTTAGTCTGGCTAATGTAATGATGATGTGCCTTGGTGTGTTCCTTCTTGGGTCCAACTTCTTTGGGACTCTCTGAGCTTCCTGGATTTCCTGGAAGTCTATTTCCTTTGCCAGATTTGGGAAGTTCTCCTTTATTATTTGTTCAAATAAGTTTTCCACTCATGACTGTTCCTCTTCCCCTTCTGGTACCCCTATAATTCGATGTTGGAACGTTTAAAGATGTCCTGGAGGTTCTTAAGACTCTCCTCATTTTTTTGAATTCTTGTTTCTTCATATTTTTCTGTTTGATCATTTTTTTCTTTCTTCTGGTCTACTCCCTTGATTTGAGTCCCAGTTTCCTTTCCATTACTATTGGTTTCCTGTGCATTACCATTCATTTCAATTAGTTTAGCCTTCATATGTTCCTCTAATTTGTGACTAAAATCAACCAGTTCTGTGAGCATCCTGATCACCAGTGTTTTGAACTGTGCATCTGATAGTTTGCCTATTTCTTCATCACTTAGATTCATCGGCTCTGGGGCTCTGATTTCTTCTTGAGCCATGTTTTTATCTGTTCGTGCCTGTTATATATGAGGATAGGCTCCTTAGGCGTTCACCAGGGTGGGGCTACCCAGGTCACTGGTTTGTGAAACTGTATGTGGGGGCAGGGTCAGAGAGGGAGCAATGGCGGTCCTGTACGCTCGCCAGTTCCCCTCACCAGTCACCCCCTGCCTGTTTATCTGAGTGCAAACGTTTGAGCCCACCGCCCTGCGGTCTGTCTCAGTGCTTGTCTCTTAAGTGGTTTATCTGCATGGAAATGCTCGACCGACCACAGACAGCCAGCCACACCTCTTTTCTGTGTCCGCCTGTAGCTAGCCCGCACCTGGGATCTGCACCCTTGGCTGCCTGTGCACCGCCTGGGTCGGGGGATCGTCCCTGCCCGACCAGCGCTACTGCTGGCTTCGCCCCTCTCATGGGTTTAGCTGAGCAGTTCATTGTTTTCGCACTCCGTATTGTCAATTTTCTGTGTGGTTTGGTTGCGTTTATTGTTGTTAAAACTTTGTTGTTTTTAGGTTTCGTTGTGTGAGGACGGAAAGTGTTTCCACCTACTCCTCCATCTTTAATTGTATCCTATGGCCCTTTTCTTGAAGTCTGTTTTGTCTGATATGAGTATTGCTACCCTGGCTTTTTTTTCTTGTCTACTTGTTTGGAAAATTTGTTTCCAGCCCTTCACTTTTAGTCTGTGTAGGTCTTTTGTCCTGATGTGGCTCTCTTGTAGGCACCATATTTGTGGGTCATTCTTTCTTATCCATTCAGCTATTCTATGTCTTTTGATTGGAGCCTTTAATTCATTTACATTTATTGTTATTATTGATAGGTACTTATTCATTGCCATTTTTGTACCTGTGTTCCTCTCTGTCTCTCTTTACCTTCCTTAAAGTAATCCTGTTAACATCTCTTGCATAGCTGGTTTGGTGGAGGCGTATTCTTTTAGACTTCATTTGTCTTGAAAGCTCTTTATTTGGCCTTCTATCTTGATTGAGATAAAGTAAAGAGATACTTGCTGGGTAAAGTATCATTGGTTGCAGGCCTCTGGATCTCATTACTTGAAATACTTCTTGCCATTCCCTTCTTGCTTGGAGTGTTTCCATTGAGAAGTCAGTGGCTAACCTTATTGAGGCTCCCTTGTATGTTACTTCCTTTTTCTCCCTTGCTTCCTTTAAGATTCTTTCTTTATCTTGGAATTTTGCCATTTTAATGATGATATTACTTGAAGTGGGCCTCTTTGGGTTCCTCTTGATTGGGACTCTCTGTGATTCATGGGCTTGTATGACTTTTTCTCTCATCAAAGTAGGGAAGTTTTCCCTCATTATTGTTTCAAATAGGTTTTCTATGCCTTGTTCTTCTTCTTCTCCTTCTGCTATCCCTATGATTCGGACATTATTATGTTTCATATTGTCTTGCATTTCTCTTAATTTCTCTTCATTCTTTCTGAGCCTCTTTCAATTTTCTTGCTCTTTCTGGGAGTTTTTTTCTACCTTGTCCTCCAACTCACTGATCTGATCTTCTGCTTCATCAGTTCTGCTTTTGATTCCTTCTACTGTGTTCTTCAATTCAGAAATTGTATTCTTCATTTCCTCTTGTCCCTTGCTGATAATTTCTGTTTCCTTTTTCATGTTGATATAGTTTGCGGTGAGATCGTTGTACCTCCCCCATAGTTTCTGGTACCTCATGGTGAGCTCTTTGAACTTCCTGATAACCAGTGCTTTGAATTCAATATCTGATAGTTGACTTGCCTCTATTTCATTCAACATTCTTTCTGAGGCTTCCTTCTTTCATTTGGGGATTGTTTCTTTGTCTTCCCATTGTTTCAGAGACTCTTCTTGTTAGCCTCAGCTTCTTAAATTGATCTGTTCTGACTCCCTGGGTTTATGGTGTGAACTTCTGTGAGGGAATGCCGGTCAAATTTTGTTGTGTAATCTTCTTCGGTTATCCTGGCATTCTCTGCTTCCGCCTACTCCGTATGGATCCTCCATGACTGTCACAATTTCTAGTCCCTTATTTTAATATATGCTGAGGAACTGCTGGCTGCCTGCACTGCTACTCAACCGATTGGCCAGTATCCTCTCCCATGTGTATAAGGAAATGGAATCAACTCCGTCCTACTTCGTCGCCATCTTCCCTTCCCTCCCAGTCTCTTTCAAATGTTTTAATTTCCAAGTTCACACCTGAGACTAGAGTTTGGGCATCACCACATCTTTAACTGTCACTCTACTTGCTTATTATGTCCTAGTAAGTCTTACATGTAAAATTGGGTAACCATATTGCATTTTGCATAGGGCAGACACAAAAAGGAGATGAAAAGACTGGGGTATAAACCTGAGCCCGATAACACCAACAACATAGGTGGGATTCAGGACAGATGCTATTTTGTGAGCTGTGTCACGAAGCATAGCTGGTCCAGTAAGGACTTCTAGACACGACTGACATCATATAGCATAATTGTTCAGTGCCCTGTCAAGAATTCCAGTGTGCCTTTGTGGGTATGCAGATACTCTGAAATTAAGTAATGCTCTATAAAAATGTACATTTAATTGTGCATCATATGTGAAATAATTGTTAGTTAAAATATGAAGGCATGTTTTTGAGTGACATTAGCAACATTACAAGTCTTACTGAAATCCCACAAAGCTTCATGAAAACAAAAAAGTCACCAATGGATATATAAGGAGTGATTTTTTTCAGAACGTTGGCTTCTTTCACATTGAACTATATGTCTGGTGTGACAATATAAAGTATGATATGTAGTATCTCATGGATCTATATTACATATGAAAAACAAAGAAAACCTGGTAGTTTAGGAAAGAACTTCTGATATTAGAGATCGACAAAAGAAATTTACTGCATCCAGAATCAATCTGAAAATATGAAACTGAACCACAGATTTACTACTAAAATAACCTAAACATTTCCTATTTTCACTCTGCCCACTCCCAGATGTCATGTAAGGTGTTATGAATGTCCATCTTGGAACCTCATGATTTAACTCTTTCCATCATGGCTCTTCAAGTCACAGTACACAGAGCCACAGCATCAGCATCAAGTGGGGGCATCATATGTGCATATTTGGGGGCCCCCACTCCAGAACTACTGAAGGATCTGGATTTGTGATGGTAGATTCAGGGAACCTCTGTTTTAACAGGCTCTCCAGGAATTCTTGTGCACATGAAAGACTGAGAAGCTTTGCTTTCATTCTTTGTTTGGCAAGGCAGGATGCCCATGAAGGGCACAGTCAGGGCCGGAAGTGGAGTGGCATTTGTCAGAAAGTAGTGACACGCTTGGCTGTGGACCCCTTTGGCCCCCCTAAAGGGGTCACCACCCTCAGGATGGTGGCCCCAATGTAGCCATAAGATACCAGGATACAAATAAATGGCAGGGAAATGACCGCCACCCCTTCTGTGAATATGAGCAAGTTGTTGATGAAGGTGTCTGAGCAGGAGAGCTTGAGCAGGGCACTAAGGTCACAGAAGAATTGGGGAAGAGTGTTAGCAGCACAAAAGGACAGCCGGGTCAGGAGAAGGGTGTGGCACAGGCAATTGGCACAGGAGAGGATCCAGGACACAGCCACTAGTAAGGCACACAGTTCTTTCTTCATGATGGTGGTGTAGTGCAGAGGGTGACAGATGGCAACATATCGGTCATATGCCATTGATGTAATAAGGAAGCTGTCCAGGTCAGTAAAAAATAGGAAAAAATACATCTGTGCTATGCAGTCTGCATAGGGAATGGATTGATCCTGAGTTTGCATGCCCATTAACATCTTAGGGACAGTGACAGATGAGAAAGAGATGTCAGTGAGGGCCAAGTGGCTGAGGAAGAAGTACATGGGTGTGTGCAGGCGGGAGTCCAGCCTGATGAGCAGGATGATGAGCAGGTTGCCCAGTACTGTGGTCAGGTACATGCCCAGGAACAGGGCAAAGAAGATGGCCTGGAACTCTGGCCTGATGGGCAGCCCCAGGAGGAGGAACTCGGACACGCTGCTCTGGTTGTCCTTCTTCATGGACCTCCTCTGTCAGCTGGGGATGAAGGGACATTGAGAAAAGTATAGTCAACTAATGCTTGATGCTGAGATGTGTCCTATATTAGTGACATTGATGCAATTAAATATAAAATACAGAGTTCTCTAGTGAAGAAACTCTGTGTCTTCAGTGGAAGTCAGGCAAATGTTACAGGTTGTAGGTGTTTCATAGGCACTAGGTTTGATGCCTTTGAGGAAGGTATGGAACTATACTAGGGATTATAGGCAGGATATCATTGGGCAGGCAGCTGGCTATACTCATTTACTGAAGGCTCACCAGAATGATGATTGTGATATCCCTGTCCTTAGGAAGAAGTAATAAGAAGTGACTTCACAAAGAGCACAAAGAAGTGATGAGCACCTGTGTACCCCCCCCCCACACACACAAGCATGCACGCACCTGCTCCTGACAAAGGACCCAGTTCTGCCTTGAATGTTATGCTGAATTCATCTAGCCTCTTGGAGTAGTGACTAGTCTCTCAGCTTCTCTGTGGGACAGGCAGGAACCGGATTTCTGGATCTTAAACCTCTCACTGACACCAGAGGGTAACAGCACAAGCCTGGATTTCACTCTTCTCAACTCACCAGCTTCAGAAATGGAGATGAGGAGACCCCTCTCTATCTATAAGGGAATGGACCCAAGGGACAAAGGAACAGGTTCTTGGTTAGAGACTTGCATTAAACTCATCTTTATTGCTCAGTCTTCTTACTCCCTGCAGGACAGGTACCCTAGGGCAGTGGTCCCTAAACTTTGCTGTTGAGCATAATCACCTGGGAGCTTGTTAAAGATGCTCTACCTCTAGAATTGCTCATTCATGAGAGCAGGGCTGAGGTAATTCTGAGGCAGAAAGGTAGACTTTGAGGAAACACCATCTTTAGAAAGAACATCAGGGTGGATGCCCTGCAAGTGTGAGACCAAAAGATGTGGGAAAACCTCCTTCCTGCCCTTCCCTGCCAGATTTGTGTTTCTCCTGGTTAGTTAGCTCATAACTTGGGGGTTTGAAGAGGGTTTTTTCTCCCCAGTGAATACTCCTTTTTAGTTTACTGCTTATGAAATGAATTCTGGTTCATGAAGGAACTCTAAACAATGTAAACATGAAAACAAAGAATAAAGTACTCAGCCTTCCATTATTATCTTTGTCCTTCTAAAGTGGTTTTTCTTCATGAATTTTATTTACATAAGTAGGATGTATTTAAACTGGATGTTATAGCTTTCTTTTTCTACAATGTCTTAATATCTGCATTTTTATGTATAAATATAGACAGAGAATACTTACAGTATCAATATGTCAATATACTTAAAAATGTCAATTTTGTGGGAATGTAGACTGGTGCAGCCATTGTGGAAAACAGTATGGAATTTCCCCAGAAAACTGGGTAAATTTTCCCAGAAAAATAGAACTGCCTTTTGTCACAGCAATTCCACTGCTAGGATTATATCCTAAGAGCCCTGAAACAACAATCCAAAATAACCTATGCCCTCAGTGTTCATAGTAGCACAATTTTACAATTGCCAAGTGCTGGAAGCAACCTAAGTGCCCATTAGCAAATGAGTGGATCAGAAAACCATGGTACATTAACAGAATGGAATTCTTTGCAGCAGAGAGAAAGAAGGGACTTATACCTTTTGCACCAGCATGAATGGAACTGGCGAGCATTATGTTAAGTGAAATAAGCCAGGCAGTTTTGGACAAGTACCATATGATCTCACCTTTAACTGGAACATAGCAAAAGAAAAAAGAAAAAATATAATCAGATTCATTGAAATTAAGAACAATTTAACAATAGCCAGGGTGGGGAGAGACAGTGGGGAGAAGGTTATTCAGGAACTACTATAAAGGACACATGGACAAAACCAAGGAAGGGTGGGGGGTGGAAGCAAAGGAGGGAGGTGGGTTTGGAGGGAGTACGGGGGAGCCATGGGGAGAAAATACAGACAACTGAATTGAACAGCAGTAAACTCATTTAAGTTTAAAAACTGTTAACTCTAGTCATATTTAAATTGAATTAACAAAGATTCAGTGTAAAACTCTATTAAAGATTACACTAAACCTGGAAGTCTTCTCTTTTGCTAGTTGTCTGATGAAGGCTACTTCATTATCTCCAAAGACATTCTTTTTAGTGGCTCCATTGCCTTTGTTTCTTGGTGCCTGTGTCTTGCTCCTTTGCAGGGAAAAGGACCTAACCTTGAAAATACCCATGGGAATAGGTGGAGAACACAAGCCCGGGTAGAACCCTGTGGAAAGACAGGCCACAACACGGATTGTTTTCATTTACTTGTAGTCTAAGTTTAAGTCTGGGGAATGAAATGAATAAGGCAAAGTGGCTATTTAATATTTGACAAATATCAAATATTAGTCTCTTTCAAATATTTTGATTTCCAAGTTCACACCTGAGACTAGAGTTTGGGCATCACCACAGCCTTAAATGTCACTCTAATTGCTTATTATGTCCTAGTAAGTTTTACATGTAAAGTTGGGTAACCATATTGCATTTTGCATAGGGCAGACACAAAAAGGAGATGAAAAGACTGGGGTAAAAACCTGAGCCCCATAATAACAATGTGTCTTCTGGACACAACTGATATATAGCAGAATTGTTCAGTGCCTTGACAAGAATTCCAGTGTTCCTTTGTGAGTATACAGACACTCGGAAAGAGTATACAGATGCTCTATAACAAATGTACATTTTATTGTACATCATGTGTGAAATAAATTGTTAGTTAAAATATGAAAGCATATTTTTGAGTGACATTAGCAACATTCAAGTCATACTGAAATCCCACAAAGCTTCATGAAAAACAAAAAAGCCACTGATGGATATATAAGGTGTGATTTTTTTCAAAACTGGCTTCTTTCGCATTGAACTATATGTCTGGTGTGACAATACAAAGCATGATATGTAGTATCTCATGGATCTATATTACATATGAAAAACAAAGAAAACCTGGTAGTTCAGGAAAGAACTTCTGATATTAGAGATCGACAAAAGAAATTTACTGCATCCAGAATCAATCTTAAAATATGAAACCGAACCACAGATTTACTACTAAAATAATGTAAACATTTCCTTTTTTCACTCTGCCCACTCCCAGATGTCATGTAAGGTGTTATGAATGTGCATCTTGGAACCTCATGATTTAACTCTTTCCATCATGGCTCTTCAAGTCGCAGTACACAGAGCCACAGCATTGGCATCAAATGGGGGCATCATATGTGCATATTTGGGGGCTCCCACTCCAGAACTACTGAAGGATCCGGATTTGTGGTGGTAGATTCAGGGAACCTCTGTTTTAACAGGCTCTCCAGGAATTCTTGTGCACATGAAAGACTGAGAAGCTTTGCTTTCATTCCTTGTTTGGCAAGGCAGGATGCCCATGAAGGGTATAGTCAGGGCCGGAAGTGGAGTGGCATTTGTCAGAAAGTAGTGACATGCTCCCAGACTGTGCACTATAATGTGGTTGCACAAGGTGTGGCAAAAGTAGGTTTACAGTTGTGAGTACACAAAACACAGAATTTATTCTTGTGTTACTATTTACTAATTGTATTATTATTTTATTGTTTTCCACACTAACAACTGTAAACGTACTATTGCTCCATCCTTTGTACTTACAAGGGATGACAGCATGAAACATGCTTTCACTCATGATGGTGTGGAGGCCTGAGCAATGTCAGCCACACAGTGTTGGCACAGAGGGGACCTGGCTGGTCTTGGTCTCCTACAGGGACCTTCATCTTCACAGTTGTAACATTTTATGCCATGAGCAGAGAGTAATACATTTCCTCTAATTTAAGTGACAGATAGTTTGGATTCTTTGATTTCTATAGACCCAAAACAATGAAAAGGAAAAACCATTTCATGGTATAAGATTGTGTAGTGAAATAATATGGCTAATTTCTAACATTCTGGGTGTGTTAAAGATGAAGATTATAGTCCCAAAATATGAGTCTTCAAAAATCTTCTCAAATAAGGGACAACAGAACTGTTTATTATTGTATCATTTATGCCCCCAAATGTAGAAATAAGAAAATTGATTTAGCATTTGCTAATGAAAAGTCATTTGTAAAGGAGAGCATCCTTAACAAGAGAATGAAGTTCTGGTCATCAGATATTTACCAAGTACATCCAACATACCTTCAGTTGTTTCAGGGCTTATGTCTCAGGAGACCTTAAAATTTTCAGACATATTCAAATGCAAAACCAAGTCTGTGAGATGAACAAAGACGAGATGGTCATTGAATTAAAGGTCACGGATATTGCTGACAGAAAAATATTACTCTACTGAGAAATTTCCCAAAAGCCTGTTTCATGTCCCTATTCCTAAGGCTATAGATAAAGGGGTTCAGCATGGGTGTGACTACTGTGTACATGAGGGCCACAATGATGTCCTTGTCAATGAAATTGCTTAATGTTGGGAAAAGGTACTGCCCAAATATTGCTCCATAATACAAAGTCACCACAGAGAGGTGGGACCCACATGTGGACAGTGCTTTATAGACCCCCTTGGCTGAAGGAACCCTGAGGACGGTGGCCCCAATGTAACCATAAGATACCAGAATACAAATAAATGGCAGGGAAATGACCGCCACCCCTTCTGTGAACATGACCAACTTATTGAGAAAGGTGTCTGAGCAAGAAAGCTTTATCAGTGCACCAAGGTCACAGTAGAAATTGGAAAGAGTGTTAGCAGCACAAAAGGACAGCCGGGTCAGGAGAAGGGTGTGGCACAGGCAATTGGCACAGGAGAGGATCCAGGACACAGCCACTAGTAAGGCACACAGTTCTTTCTTCATGATGGTGGTGTAGTGCAGAGGGTGACAGATGGCAACATATCGGTCATATGCCATTGATGTAATAAGGAAGCTGTCCAGGTCAGTAAAAAATAGGAAAAAATACATCTGTGCTATGCAGTCTGCATAGGGAATGGATTGATCCTGAGTTCGCATGCTCATTAACATCTTAGGGACAGTGACAGATGAGAAAGAGATGTCAGTGAGGGCCAAGTGGCTGAGGAAGAAGTACATGGGTGTGTGTAGACGGGAGTCCAGCCTGATGAGCAGGATGATGAGCAGGTTGCCCAGTACTGTGGTCAGGTACATGCCCAGGAACAGGGCAAAGAAGATGCCTTGGAACTCTGGCCTGATGGGCAGCCCCAGGAGGAGGAACTCGGACACGCTGCTCTGGTTGTCCTTCTTCATGGACCTCCTCTGTCAGCTGGGGATGAAAGGACAATGAGAAAAGTATAATCAACAAATGTTTGATCCTGGGAGATGTCCTGTATTAAGTGACATTGATTCAATTAAATGTAAAATATAGAGTTCTCTAGTGAAGAAACTCTGTGTCTTCAGTGGAAGTCAGGCAAATGTAAATTAGGTTGTAGATATTTCCTAGGCCCAAGATTTGATGCCTTTGAGGAAGGTATGGAACTATACTAGGGATTACAGGCAGGACATCGTTGCGCAAGCCGCTGGCTATACTCATTTCCCAAAGGCTCACCAGAATGATGATTGTGATATCCCTGTCCTTAGGAAGAAGTAATAAGAAGTGACTTCACAAAGAGCACAAAGAAGTGATGAGCACCTGTGTACACCTCCTCACAGGCATGCACGTACCTGCTTCTGACAAAGGACCCAGTTCTGCCTTGAATGTTATGCTGAATTCATCTAGCCTCTTGGTGTAGTGACTAGTCTCTCAGCTTCTCTGTGGGACAGGCAGGAACCAGATTTCTGGATCTTAAACCTCTCACTGACACCAGAGGGTAACAGCACAAGCCTGGATTTCACTCTTCTCAACTCACCAGCTTCAGAAATGGAGATGAGGAGACCCCTCTCTATCTATAAGGGAATGGACCCAAGGGACAAAGGAACAGGTTCTTGGTTAGAGACTTGCATTAAACTCATCTTTATTGCTCAGTCTTCTTACTCCCTGCAGGACAGGTGCCCTAGGGCAATGGTTCCTAAACTTGATGTGCAGCATAATCACCTGGGAGCTTGTTAAAGATGCTCTACCTCCAGAATTGCTCATTCATGAGATCAGGGCTCCAGGTAATTCTAAGGCAGATAGGAAACTTTGAGGAAACACCATCCTTAGAGAAAACATCAGGGTGGATACCCTGCAAGTGTGAGACCAAAAGATGTGGGAAAACCTCCTTCCTGCCCTTCCCTGCCAGATTTGTGTTTCTCCTGGTTAGTTAGCTCATACCTTGGGGGTGTGAAGAGGGTTTTTTCTCCCCAGTGGATACTCCTTTTTAGTTTACTGCTTATGAAATGAATTCTGGTTCATGAAGGAACTCCAAACAATGTAAACATGAAAACAAAGAATAAAGTACTCAGCCTTCCATTATTATCTTTGTCCTTCTAAAGTGGTTTTTGTTCATGAATTTTATTTACATAAGTAGGATGTATTTAAACAGTATGTTATAGCTTTCTTTTTCTACCATGACTTATAATATTTGCATTTTTGTATGTAAGTATAGACATAGAATACATACAGTGTCAATATATCAATATATTTAAAAATGTAAATTTTCGGGGAATACAGACTGGTGCAGCCATTGTGGAAAACTGTATGGAATTTTCTCAGGTAACTGAATATGGAACTTGCTTTTGACCCAGCAATTCCACTGCTGGGATTATACCCTAAGAGCCCTGAAACACCAATCCAAAAGAACCTGTGCACCCCAGTGTTCATAGCAGCACAATACAAAGCATGATATGTAGTATCTTATGTATCTATATTACGTATGAAAAACAAAGGAAACCTGGCAGTTCAGGAAACAAATTACAATAGCCAAGTGCTGGAAGCAACCTAAGTGCCCATCAGCAAATGAGTAGATCAGAAAACCATGGTACATTAACAGAATGGAATTCTATGCAGCAGAAAGAAAGAAGGAGCTTATACACTTTGCTTCAGCATGGAAGGAACTAGTGAGCATTATGCTAAGTGAAATAAGCCAGGCAGTTTTGGACAAATACCATATGATCTCACCTTTAACTGGAACATAACAAAAGAAAAAGAAAACAAAATATAACCAGAGTCATTGAAATTAAGAACAATTTAACAATAACCGGGGGTGGGGGAGAGACAGTGTGGAGGAGGGTATTCAGGGACTACTATAAAGGACACATGGACAAAACCAAGGAAGGGTGGGGGTTGGAAGCAGGGGAGGGAGGTGGGTTTGGAGGGGGTGGGGGTGGGAGCCTTGGGGAGAAAATACAGACAACTGTAATTGAACAGCAATAAACTCATTTAAGTTTAAAAACTGTTAACTCTAGTCATTTTAAAAATTGAAATAACAAAGATTCATTGTGAAACTCTTTATTAAAGAGTTCACTAATCCTGGAAGTCTTCTCTTTTGCTAGTTGTCTGATGAAGGCTACTTCATTATCTCCAAAGACATCCTTTTTAATGGCTCCATTGTCTTTGTTTCTTGGTGCCTGTGTCTTGCTCCATTGCAGAATAAAAGAACCTAACTTTGAAAATGCCCATGGAAATACGTGGAGAACACAAGGTCAAGTGGAACCCTGTGTAAAGACCAGCCACAACGTGGATTGTTTTAATTTACTTGTAGTCTAAATTTAAGTCTGGGGAATGAAATGAATAAGGCAAAGTTGCTATTTAATATTTGACACATTCGAATGTTTTGATTTCCAAGTTCACACCCAAGACTAGAGTTTGGACATCCCCACAGCCTTAAATGTTACTCTAATTGCTTATTATGTCCTAGTAAGTCTTACATGTATAGTTGGATAACCATATTGCATTTTACATAGGGGAAATATGAAAAGGAGATGAAAAGACTGGGGTAAAAACCTGAGCCCCATAATAACAACATAGGTGGGATTCAAGACAGATGATATTTTGTGTGCTTGCTAAAAGCATGGCAAGTCAAGTGAGGACTTCTAGACATGCCTGACATCATATAGCATAATTGTTCAGTGCCTTGTCAAGAACTCCAGTGTGCCTTTGTGGGTATGCAGATACTCTGAAATGAAGTAATGCTCTATAAAAATGCACATTTAATTGTGCATCATATGTGAAATAATTGTTAAAATATGAAAGCTTGATTTTGAATGACAGCAATATTACAAGTCATACTGAAATCCCACAAAGCTTCATGAAAAACAAAAAAGCCACTGATGGATATATAAGATGTGATTTTTTTCAAAACTTTTGCTTCTTTCGCATTGAACTATATGTCTGGTGTGACAATACAAAGCATGATATGTAGTATCTCATGAATCTATATTACATAGGAAAGATAAAGAAAACCTGGTAGTTCAGGAAAGAACTTCTGATATTAGAGATTGACAAAAGAAATTTACTGCATCCAGAATCAATCTGAAAATATGAAACCGAACCACAGATTTACTACTAAAATAATGTAAACATTTCCTTTTTTCACTCTGCCCACTCCCAGATGTCATGTAAGGTGTTATGAATGTGCATCTTGGAACCTCATGATTTAACTCTTTCCATCATGGCTCTTCAAGTCGCAGTACACAGAGCCACAGCATCGGCATCAAATGGGGGCATCATATGTGCATATTTGGGGGCCCCCACTCCAGAACTACTGAAGGATCCGGATTTGTGGTGGTAGATTCAGGGAACCTCTGTTTTAACAGGCTCTCCAGGAATTCTTGTGCACATGAAAGACTGAGAAGCTTTGCTTTCATTCCTTGTTTGGCAAGGCAGGATGCCCATGAAGGGTACAGTCAGGGCCGGAAGTGGAGTGGCATTTGTCAGAAAGTAGTGACACGCTCCCAGACTGTGCACTATAATGTGGTTGCACAAGGTGTGGCAAAAGTAGGTTTACAGTTGTGAGTACACAAAACACAGAATTTATTCTTGTGTTACTATTTACTAATTGTATTATTATTGTATTGTTTTCCACACCAACAACTGTAAACGTACTATTGCTCCATCCTTTGTACTTACAAGGGATGACAGCATGAAACATGCTTTCACTCATGATGGTATGGAGGCCTGAGCAATGTCAGCCACACAGTGTTGGCACAGAGGGGACCTGGCTGGTCTTGGTCTCCTACAGGGACCTTCATCTTCACAGTTGTAACATTTTATGCCATGAGCAGAGAGTAATACATTTCCTCTTATTGAAGTGACAGATAGTTTGAATTCTTTGATTTCTATAGACCCAAAACAATGAAAAGGAAAAACCATTTCATGGTATAAGATTGTGTAGTGAAATAATATGGCTAGTTTCTAATATTTTGGGTGTGTTAAAGATGAAGATTATAGTCCCAAAATATTAGAGTCTTCAAAAATCTTCTCAAATAAGGGACAACAAAACTGTTTATTATTGTATCATTTATGCCCCCAAATGTAGAAATAAGAAAATTGATTTAGCATTTGCTAATGAAAAGTCATTTGTAAAGGAGAGCATCCTTAACAAGAGAATGAAGTTCTGGTCATCAGATATTTACCAAGTACATCCAACATACCTTCAGGTGACCTAGGGCTTAAGTCTCAGAGACCTTAAAATTTTCAGACATATTCAAATGCAAAATCAAGTGTGAGATGAACAAAGATGAGGTTGTCATTGAAATAAACATCGCTGATATTGCTGACAGAAAAATGTTACTCTACTGAAAAGTTTCCCAAAAGCCTGTTTCATGTCCCTATTCCTAAGGCTGTAGATAAAGGGGTTCAGCATGGGTGTGACTACTGTGTACATGAGGGCCACAATGATGTCCTTGTCAATGAAATTGCTTAATGTTGGGAAAAGGTACTGCCCAAATATTGCTCCATAATACAAAGTCACCACAGAGAGGTGGACCCACATGTGGACAGTGCTTTATAGACCCCCTTGGCTGCGGAACCTCAGGATGGTGGCCCCAATGTAGCCATAAGATACCAGGATACAAATAAATGGCAGGGAAATGACCACCACCCCTACTGTGAACATGACCAACTTATTGAGAAAGGTGTCTGAGCAGGAGAGCTTTATCAGTGCACCAAGGTCACAGTAGAAATTGGAAATAATGTTAGCAGCACAAAAGGACAGCTGGGTCAGTAGAAGTGTGTGGGACAGGGACTGGCACAGGAGAGGATCCAGGACCCAGCCACCAGTAAGGCACACAGTTCTTCCTTCATGATGGTGGTGTAGTGAGAGTGACAGATGGAAATATGGTATATGCATTATGTAAAGGAAGCTGTCCAGGTCAGTAAAAAATATAAA